AATGCAGAAGGATACGCATTTTTTGCTTTTATTTCTGCTGCGAGCTAATAACAGTCGGGCTAGGCAATTGTGCAATATGGACTTTAGTTATTTCATCAATTTGCAGCAGACATCATAAATTTGTTTGGTATTTTGTAATTTGTAAATATTTGCATATGAATTGTGATTAAGCACGGCTAAGTGGATCATAAAATAATGCAGACAACATCGACTGGCTGCTAAATAACTGCAGTGAAAGCTGTGTATGAGAATTAACTATATTAAGGATGCAGGGAACTGGTAAAAAGAGAAATTATCCTATGCTTTTTTATAGATATCATTTTTCTCAAAATAATTATTGTCTATCGATAGATCTTGTCCTGATGACTCCTGCGATACTTTTCTGCGCAAAGTACATCTCTTTTTGGCTGAATTAGAGGCATTTTCTCCTATAAAAGCATATATTTCATAAAGCTCAGCTATATCCTTAAGGATCCTGTCAGGACATGCCATTTTGACCGGGCAACAAGCTAAAGTCTCATTTGACATTCAAAGCTTTTTCCATTGAAAGCTACTTCATTTTTGGCATCTGCAACTTTGAGCTTGCCACATGCCGTGGCACTTACCTTGCACCGTTGCACGTGCAACACATGCCACACAAGCTGCAACAGCGATTGCCTCAAGGCTGCACAGCTTCTGCTGCTCTCAGTTGCTGCAATAAGCATCAATTTAATGCATTCCATATTCAAATTTAACTTTCGGTTCCGTTTGGCCGTTGGCCGTTGCATTTGAAATTCAAATTTGAATTTAACTGCTGCGACTGCCCCCGTGCTTATGCAATGGTATTTTAGTTTCGCTGAATTTATTTTTGTTTTGCTGCTTGCTGCGATTTCTGTTCGCCTGGTACTTCAGTCGAATTTTCATTCAAATTTCGCATCAACCGCGGCCAGTGGCCGTACCTGAATGACATGTAACGGGATTTGGATTTTTGCGGATTTTTTTATAATCAACGGAATTTTAAATTTAAACTTTTTTTTTTTGTTTTGCTGTTTTCTGCAGTTTGAATTAAATTGCAACGGAATTTCAAATTTGAGCGGATTCTGCTTAGTGTTTAGTCTACACCGCACCTGTTTGGTATGGGTATTTCTATTTTATTTAATTTTTTTGCCGATTGACGACATTTTTTTTTTTTTTTTTTTTGCAGATTGACGTCAGATTTTTTATTTATTTATTTTTTAATTTTAATTTTATTTTTATTTCATTTTTTTCTTTTTTTTTTTTTGCAGAATGATTAATATTTTTTTTTTATTTATACATTACATTAGAATCTTTAGGGTCAGCTAGTTAATTTCTTAGTTTTTAAGTATTTGTCGGAGTTTTTGCTTAAGATAAAATATACTATATTGAACAGAGGCTCTTCTGAACCTAGGGTTGAGCCCTAGTTTTTGAAAAATACAAATTTCGTTTCAGACACATCTGGGCCATCGCTGCTGTATGAAATTTCGGCTGAAGTACCAGGCAAACAGAAGTCGCAGCTGGCAGTCAAAAAGCCGCGATTGCTATGCTTACAGTTGTTGGGCGGCTGACCGTTGCATTTAAAAGCCATTTCGAATAAATTACCAGGCAGAGAAAAGGCGCCAGCTAGATTTAAATATTGATTTATAAGCTCCATTGCATACCCGAAAGGGGCAACCCGCCAAGATGAGACGAACGTTATGTTTTTGAATAGTTGATTTATTTATTTATTTATTTGATATTGGAGTTAAAAATTGAAATTAAATCAAATTAAAACTAACTTAAATATTAAGAATTAGCTACTAGAACACTAATCTTGTTTTTAACAATTTTTGAAAGTGAATCGATAATATTTTAATTTGTAAGCCTAAAAAGCCTTGTTATTTTAAGTTGCTACAGGATATGGTTAACTTCCAGCTGGATGCTTGCACGTTGTCGATCTGCAAGAAAATGTGGAGGGCTTATTTAATGATCAGAGCCTATAATTCATATATTTAAGCTAATCTAAAGTAGTTTCATTTGACCTTTGATTGAAGTCCTCGAAGTCCTGGATTGCTGGCAGCATTCAGCTTTAAAGAACAGCTGAATGATTCATCAGTTGGTATTGAGTAGCGGAAAGTGCACTCGAAATGCATTGCAAATAAACTTGAATTTCGTAATAAAAGAGAAGGTGAAAAGCGCAGGGTAAAAGCGAGTAACAATCGCCGACTAAAAGCGCTGCCAAATGTCCTGCAGCCAGTCACAATAAAAGAACAGTTCGAATGGATGCTGTGCGTGTGTGTATGTGTGTGTGTGACATTCCTTATGGAATAAACAAGTGGTGTGTGTGTGTGTATGGGATTGATTGTTTGTGTAGCACACACATAATAACTGCAGCTGCACGTTTACAATTTGTACGTGTTATGCGTGTGTGTGTGTGAGCGAGAGAGAGTGAGAGATGAAAAGAGAGAGTGTGTGTGTGGTTTTGGTTTTGGTTATTCGGGCTTGATAAAAATGAGCGTCGGAAATGCGAATATAAATTTTGCCATATCTGATGTACAACTGTGTTTGTGTGCGTGTGTACGTGTGTGTGTTTGTGTTTGTGTCAGGATAAACGTAATGGCCAGCATTGCAGCCAGGATGCCAAGCAGACAGCGGACTGGGTGTAGCAGACCAATCATCAGAAGTATGCAGCGCGGGCAGAGGAAACGGAAATGACATGCAATAAAACACAAAGGCGCACGCATTGCCGGTCGAACGTGGCGGGTGGGTGGGTGAGTGCGGGTGGCGTTGCTGCCGCTTGGAGTGGTGCTGCTGTCAACCGTTGTGGATTATAAACGCAAAATGGCATCTAACAACAGAAATCTATCTGGCCAGAGAAACTTTTACAAAATTACAATTGCAAAAGTTGTGCACTCTCTATTGAAGATTGAAGAGGGCTGAGAGGGGGAGCGACAGTGGGGAGCAGACCCGCAGCTGCTGGCCAGACGACAACAACAAGCACCACCCACTCAAGCACTCTGGCACTCTGGCACTCTGGCACTCAACCACTTTGGCTCCCTCTGTTAGTGCGACGCACTTGACCAGACATTCGAGTGCGCCTTTGTGTGCGTTAACGCCAAGTCATTTGGCTTATCAATGCCAGACGCAGACAATTTTGCGCTTATCGCTCGAACGCATCGCGTTTCGCCTCATGCAGGTGCCGCAAACGGCCATCGATGCTCATTTAATGCTGCCCTCGCCCCAGCCCAGCCCCAATGGCTGTGCCATGTATTATTAAGCGCCCATTAGCCAGAGCTCTTCTGGCGACAAACTGGCTGACACTAGTTGTGCCAAGGACCCGTTCGCACAGGGCGCCCATTGACATGTATGCAAACATTGCTCTAATGATGGTCAGCCCAAGTGCCCGCAAAACAAGCAGCAGCACCAGCCACGCCTCCCCGTCTCTCTCCCTCTGTTTGTCTCCTGCTCCATGGCTGGACTCACTTGACATGCAGTGGCTTGCTTTATTGGCTAATTACGCCCTGCAGCAAAGCGGCTGCAGTTGCATGCCTGCATGTGATTGCTGTGCCCCAGCTTCGCCTCCACGGCTTCCCGTCTCCTCGCTTTGCCGGACCTGCCATAATTTGCGGCCAAGTTATTAGTACTGGCACAAAACTGGCATCGTTTTATTTTCGATTTTAATTTCCATGTAGTCGCTGCTGGCACTGCTCGTTGTTTTTTTTTTCCCCATTTTTATTTTTTTTTTTCTGCTCGACATGCGCCTAATTTATATTCATTATCTGATGCATAATTATAGATAACCTGACTGCGTGTGTAGCGCAACACTCTCCAATTGCCAGTTCTTCAACTTTGTTGCCATCTCGCAGCTCGCAGCTCGTATCATCTATCTCCCTCTCCCTCTCCCTCTCTCTTTCTCACTCTCAATATTTATCCTTGAGCTCAAATGTTATTCGCGTTAACTCAATATTTGACTAGCGCATTTGATAACAACCCCCTTGACGGACCGCTTCTTAAGCTGGTTTAAGCTTACCTTTAGCTGCTGCTGTTGCCACAAATAATTGGCAACAAACTGCAGGGGAACTTCGAGTGGGGGCGCGGCTATACAAATATTTGCACAAAAATCAATTTCAAAAGGAATTGCAAAAGTAAAAATTAGAGAACAAATTCGTTGCGAGCTGGCATTATATTATAGCTAGCTGATTTTGGAAATGCTAGCTTTGAATGTGTGTATATATGTATGTAGATATACAACTAAAAAGCTCACTTAAGCTAGTATAGTGAATAATTTATTTAGTATGTAATAAAAAATTAGTTAAAGTATTAAATTAATTTGAAGTGTAAAATCTCTTCATTATTAAATAAAAAATAAATAAATAAAT